TGTATATGTCTACTGTTTACTTTGACAAAAAATTGTAAATCTCTTAAGCCAGTCTTTTGATTTTTGCCAGATAGCACAGCCCTTTTAGTGAGTTCACTTGTCTCTCCTGCAAGTAGCCTGCCCCAGCTTGCTGATTGGATAATGAAAGTTCAATAGAAGATTTATGAAGTAATCATTCTTCTAATTCTTACTCTCTGCTTTCTAAGTGACAGCTCTGAGCTAGACTGACTCTTCCTTTCCTGACCAGAGTTTTGCTATGCATAGGGTTGAAATAATCTAAGATGAAGATTGACTAGATGGACTAGATGAAAATATATTTAGGGCTTTTTTTAATGAACACATAACTGGACATAATTGTGTTTTTTTCTATTATATCTGCTTGGAGTTCAGCTGTAAGTTAAGAAGCCAAGATAACTATGAGAATCATATTGATTTGTGCAGCATATCAGCGTTGCAGAGTAGATTGAAACAATGGAGAACCTTTTAAAGGATAATAATGCTTTTCAAAAAATGTATGCCCCAACATAGACCTCAGATCATCATATCCTCCTCTCCCAAACGTTGTGACCTTCTCCAGGACAGGCCTTTCTCTTCTGAGCTGAATAACTTGTGGTAGTTCGTCTGTATGGGTGTCTTCCATAGAGTGTAATAAAAAAAAAAAACATTACCACGGAACGGATAGAGAACATAGGGAAGGTCACACATGGTCCTTTTTCCTACAGTATGGCTCATTCACAGTATGCCCTACTGCTCATGCACAACAATAGGCTGCCACAGTCCATCACTGTGCAAAACCCATTGCAGAAATACTAAGGGCCATTCAAAATGAATTGGCTCCCTTAAAGTACTAGTAAACCACACCACAAAAATAAAATTGTGCCCTCGGGCAGTTTAAGTCATAATGTGCTAGTATGCACTGCATACTAGCACATTATGACAGACTTACCTGAAAACTAAGTCCTTCAGGGGAGTGTTGTCACCATTGTAGGCCTTTCCATCTTCACCTGGTCTTTCTTCCAGGTTCACAGGCTTTGGCCGTATGAATGGCCAGGCCACGATGATGTCACTCCTGCAGATGTGCGTGGAAGTCTCAGCCATGGCACAGAGTTCTAAATGGATGGCACAGTCCATTCAGAGCCCAGTGCACATGCGCCAGTGATGTCACCGGCTGCTGCTAATAAATGGTGCATGTTTAGCAGATATTTACTGTACTTACGGTAAGCCGTATTATAGGCTTACCTATAGGTAAAAATCAACCATGTGAGTTTACTACCACTTTAACACAGCATGCTAAAATACATGAGATAGCATACTGTGAAACGTGTTACCACAGCACACTATGGAGTAAATGGTTCATAATATAAACCTATTAATTCTCTCTGTAGGAATTGATATTAAAATGTAGGAATTGATATTAAAATGTAAAACAAAATGCTCATCTCTGATATTTAATAGATTGTAATTAAATAATCTTGATACTATTGTTTTAGGTAATTCGGCTGTGATTATGAATAATGTTTTAGTCATTTCAGCTGTGAATAAGTCTACTATGGGAATTTTAGAAATTATAACATTTAACTAAAGCAAGCAAGAATAATAAATATGTTTTTAATTTTCCAAAAGAACATGTTTTATTAAGAACTTGTCTTTTTTTACACATCTTAAAATGTTATTTTAGCGAACAGTGTCTTTATCACAGAACTGCTAAATGTAACAGGAAGGTTTAGAATTGAGCTATGCAAATAGCAATGGTAAATGCGAGAATGGCTGACACATGGAATGAAAAGTGGGCGTTAGGGAGAATCCTCTAAGGTCTGTGATATAGATTTCTAATGGAACTTCACAACGGATAGCTTTTACTGCAAATATTCATTGATTTTAGAAATGCCAGTGGAGGTGTTTTTTGTTTTTAATGCATTTATAAATGATGCATACTTATCAGTTAGACAATTTATGTTTCAAGCATACTTGTTACTTGCCTTAGTACAGCTAAGATGCCATAAAACTAAAATAGATTTTATATAGACTACTAACTGTAGCTCCTTAGTTAGTTCTGCATTCACCTTTGTACATCTGCACATAGAATTAATCATAGTGCATATAAATAGAAGTTTATGTTTATGGGTATTTGTATGTTTATGGGGAGCTGCTGAAAATGTTGTTTTTTTTATACTGTTTCCAGTGGTGATCCACCTTTTAACTGGAGCTGGCAATACACTGACGCATCGGTGTTGATATAATAGGCTTTATTCAGGCTGAAGTAAGCCCTGAAAAACTGACTGGTATGACAACAGCAGGGTCGACATGCTATCGACCACTGAGATTTGCAAAGACACAATGTGGTAAATAGAAATGGCTTTCTGTTAGTCCCTTGTGAATGGCCTTGCCAGAATACACTAGGCAAATGAGTGAACAACTCTGCTGATCGCAATAAACAAGAACACTAACTCCAGAATGCATTATAAGAGAATGCGGCTAACTATAAGGCCTACGTACTGTCCTAAGACCCTCACTAACCACTGGCCAGTGGAATAATATGTGTAAGGGAGTTATTTAATGCAATGTTAGTGCGCTCAACCTTCAAACAAATTAATTTTTAATCCAAAGATTGAGAAAATGCTCTAACTTAGCTGAAATTGAAAGGATGGTGAAGTTTTATTTAAATAAAGTCCTGCTGCCAGCAGAAAGGTCCCGGCAATGGTAGACAAGTTCAGCACCAACAGGGGTAGCCAAAGGCCACTCACCACTTAGGTGCCCATTGAATGTCCTCCTGATAACAGTCTGTCGAGCGTTCTTATAGGCTGGGTGGAGGTGTCTGAGAGTTAAGAGATGCACCCTGGATACACAAAGGTCACTCTCTTCCCTGGTACAACTGCCAGCTGCACACATATGCTCCGCCATCTCCGGGGGTTCAGTGCTCAGTCCCTCTACCAGCTCCATATTCTCCCCTGACTCTGGTCCTGTAGATCTCCCTGGTGCCTAGTGGGTTCCCAAATGGCCTCATGGATCTTCTCCCCTGATGCCAGCCTGCACCTTTACTTTCGCTGCCCCTGAGTCCAGTTGTGAAGGTCCAGTTTCTAGCCTAGGGTGTAGCCATTTGCAATCCTCCTTTCATCTCCTCCCTCCTGTAAGCCTGTCAATCAAATGGCTCAGGTAGCAGGGACACAAGTTCCAGTAGAGCTACAAAAATACCTGCCCTGTATAGCTCTTGTGCCTTGAAACTGAACCCTGAGTACTTTCATTTAAATATACTGTATTCCTCAATAGCCACAAAAAATATAAATCCATTTTGCGTGCACTAAATGCCTTTGCAAATGTAAATATTACCTTGATAAATTGCATAGACATCACCACTGTGCTGTACATAGGCCTGTGCAGAGAACAAAGCTCTGGGAGGCACCCTGCAGGCCCCACCTACTACAGGCTGCATGCTGAAAGCTATAGGAGGGGGCGGAGACAGGACCAGTCACCCTGCACAAGGAGAGAGAACAGCAGTGACCGGTCTTTATTACTGGAAGGTCCTGAACAGAGGCAAAGGTTCACATTACTGCACAAATATGAAATAAATACACAAAGCACACCAAGAGTCAAGTAAGGATACACATGACTCTTGTATTTAGACAATATTTTCTTAGCGTGGAGTTTACTTTTAAATTGGACTCCAGTCAGGGCTAGAGGTGTAACCACATCACTGACACAGGGCATGCCTAACATTTTGTAGAAAAAAATTAATTAACATTGAATGAGTTCTAATTATTGCCCTTCCTATCAAAAACTAAAATAAAAATGTGACTAGAGATATACTTGAATATAAAATATGTAAAAAGGGACAATTTTAGAGGTGGTATGTGTAACAAAATGCAATGCAGATTGTACGCTTATTTATTTCATATATTATGTATATTTAACATTTCATATCTCTGTAATGTGCCTGCCGTGCCGTGTACTTGTATGAAAAAGTATCCTGTTCTCTTTGCATTGCTTCCTTTGTGTGAAATCCCCAGTGTTCCTGCCAGTTCCTCTGCTTTCCTATTAAAAACTGACCACGCTAGGCATGAGAGCACACTGTGGTTAGTTCTCTAGCTATGCTGGGAACTCAGCCTGCTCTCCTTCAATGATTAGACGTGCTCTGATGCACCCAAGGGGCACAGCCATCCACTGGGAAGATCAGTGTGCTGACGTTTCTATTCCCTTGATCTCTCTATACAGCTGAGAACAGAGGTTATGTGGTCAGTTATAAAAAGGGGGAAAAGCTATTTTTAATGTTTTGTAAATGTATACACAAATGTTTTAGCTTTCATTTCTATTTTAAACTGCATGGGCTGTGGGCGGGGGTGTATTTACCACAAGGTAAACAAGGCATTTGCCTAGGGTGACATTTTATAGGGGGGCAGCACTGCCCTCCGGAAGAAGGGACACAAGCAGCATGGGGACCAGTTGAGATCTGAGAGAGGCTGTGGGCTGCTTGATGGTGTATGCAGAGCCCAGCTGTTGGTCCTGGGGATGACCAGAGTTGCCGGAGGGGGTGGGGGGGGGGTTGTTAGTGGAAGGCTCTCTCAGGTGGGGGGGAGGGCGTTCAATTTTTGTGTTGCCTAGGGCAGAACAAAACCTAAATACACCACTGGCTGTGGGTTTACATATACTTTAATAGGATATCTCCCAGATTTGGCTATCTTCATTGCAATCCCTACCCAGGTATTTGGTCAGATGATACCTGCCACTTTTCACTCTTCCACAGACATCATTAAATGGGATGTATAAATATAGGCAACAGCATATTGGAATGGCTACCTGGCATTACTCCTCATAGCACTGCAAAAGTAATGAAATCTTTGCTAAAGAAGAGAAACATTCATTTACTGTGTGAAGGATGTTGCAGTATTACAGGGGTCTCCAAACTACAGCCTGAGGGCCATTTAGGGCCCTTTGCTACCTTTTACCCGGCCCTTAGGTCACTATTCCTCCTACTGAGACCAACAATGGGGCATTACTTCCATTGAATTAAAAGATGGTGTACTATTCTTCCCACTAATACTCTTCCTCCTACTGAGCATCAACCCTGAGGCCATGTTCATTCTCACTGATGCTGGGACCAGGGGCGGACTGACAACTCATGGGGCCCCCGGGTAATAGGGGGCCCCACTGACAACTCATGGGGCCCCTGTGTCCTTGCCCAAACTCACAAAAGCCTATGAAAACGGTACCAGGGGCATCTCATGGGTCCCCCTACTGACCCCAGGCCCTCGGGCAGTGCCCGAGTTTCCAAATGGTCAGTTCACCCCTGGCTGGGACCAGGACATTTTCTACCCCCCGCTGGCCCTAACCTGGCCCACCTAAAGTCTGAAGGACAGGATACTGGCCCTTTCTTTGAAAGGTTTGAAGACCCCCGAAGTATAATAAAGATTATAAAAACACTTGAGTTTCTATTTTTTTTGTTAATTAAAACTAAAGTACTCCAGGCAATGTTAAATACACATGCTAAGTCAGCTCTGTATTTATTAATACATCATAATTATTTTTTAAATGCAGGCAATGTAAGCACTGAATTTTACTCAGTGTCAGCATCTTGCTAACCCCTGTACAGTAGAACTCAGACGGGAAGATGGAGAAACAGCACAAGGAGCACATCAGTCATAAAAGGGAACATACTAATACGCAGGAAAGAGCAGAGTGATAGAGAGATGAGTTAATTCATCTGCTGTTCCTCCTTTCAATGTGCACTCACAAGGTGGGAAAGGGACAAGACCTGTAAATGTAAGGCTAGGTTCACACCTATGCAGGTTGCATTTGACCCGTTTCTGCATTGCGTTTTGCTTTACATTTTGCACCTGTGTTTTTGCCGCGTTTTGCTTTTCTTTTTTTTTCTTGTTGCTAGGCAGATGTAAACTCAAAATGCATCAAAAACTTGGCAAAAACGAAATACATACTTTTTTGCAGCATTTCCATTGAAGCCTATAGAACCAAAAATGCAACTTTTTGCATTGAAAAAAGTCCCTGACCCTTTTCAAAAAAACTCACAGGGTGAAAACGCAGAAATGTGAGCATGTCTCATAGGAAATCATGTTAAATGGACTGTACTGCATTTCTGCAAATCGCTGCAGAAAACTCTTAGGTGTGAACTTGGGGTTACTGAAATGCAGTAAAGAAAAATCAGATCCGCTGCTCTGCCAGTGTGGAAGAGCTGTGTAAATCTCAGGATTCAGAGGGGCAGAATAAAAATCTGTTACTAAGTAAAACAGCTCCTCTATGTATTTTATCTACAATGTTAGCTGCTGCTTGGCTGGAGTTCAGCTGTAGAGTGGTTGCAATAATTCCCAGGTGTCTCATATGTAAATATCACTTTGTGTGGACTAATCCGAAATATCAATTTAAATATCACTTTTGTGTGGACTAATCTTAAATATCATTTGAAATATCACTTTTGTGAAAATAATCCTTTGAAAAGAGAAAGTCTTTGGTCTCATTATAGTTTAGCATACTGCAGCATAATGTCTGTATTTTCTTCATACTGCTAATGCTTCATACATTGCAATGTTCAGGCATGGTGAACATATGTAGGCGGTGTGAATCCAAGCCGCAAGTGTAAGTGTGAACAACCACTAATATGTACCATGCCATGGAAGAGCCTTTTTCTTACAGATGTTCACATCTCATTTCTCATGTATATTGTTTGTATGTAAAATGTCATGATAAATACACATACATTCCCTGGCTCAGTCCACTGTAATCCATTGATAACAAAACCCTCTTGTTCCCAAACACCCAATGTTCCTTTGGATAATAGTAAAGCAGTATCTACAGCATTACACTTTTAGATTTGCCAGCATTCCAAATTAAAAAAAAAAAAGGATAAGGATAGAGTTCAATGGATTATTGGTTGATAAAAACACTCATTAGGGTTGTTTTTTTTTTAGAATGTTACTTAAAGTGTCATTAAATCAAGAATGTGACAAAAATCTCATTGCATGCTGTATAACAGATTGTGCATACTCACAAAGCCATGAAAGGGTTCAAGTCAGGGCTCTGGCTGGGACACTCCAGGACATTCACAGAGTTGTTACTAAGCCACTCCTGTATTGTCTTGGCTGTGTGCTTAGGATGGTTGTCATGTTGGAAGGTGAACCTTCGCGTCTCAGGTCCTGAACACTGTGAAACAGGTTTTCATTGAGGATATCTCTGTACTTCGCTCCATTTAGCTTTTCCCTCAACCCTGACCATTCTACGAGTCCCTGCTGCTGAAAAACACCCCCACAGCATGATGCTGCCACCACCAAGCTTCACTGTTGGGATGGTACTGGGCATGATGAGCTGTGCCTGGTTTCCTCCAGACATAACAATTGAGTTCAATCTATAATTGAGTTCAATCTTGGTTTCATCAGACCAGGGAATCTTGTTCCTCACCGTCTGAGAATCCCTCAGGTGCTTTTTTGCAAACTCCAAGCGGGCTTTCATGTGTTTTGCACTAAGCAGAGGCTTCCATCTAGCCATTCACATAAAGGCCAGATCGGTGAGTGCTGCAGTGATGGTTGTCCCGCTGGAACCTTGTCCCTTCTCCACACAGGATCTCTGGAGCTCAGTCAGAGTAACCACCAGGTTTTTTGTCATGTCTCTTATTAAGGCCCTTCTTCCTTGATAGCTCAGTTTGGCCAGCTCTTGAAAGAGTCCTCGTTGTTCCAAATTTCTTCCGTATGAGAAATATGGAGGCCACTGTGCTCTTGGGAACCTTCAGTGCAGCAGAATTTTTTCGCCCTCCCCAGATCTATGCCTTGCAAAAATCCTGTCTCTAAGCTCTGCAGGCAGTACCTTTGACCTCATAGCTTTTGCTCTGATACAGTATGCATTGTTAGCTGTGAGGCCTTTTATAGAGAGGTGTGTACCTTTCAAAATCATGTCCAATCAATTTAATTTACTACTGGGTAACAATCAAGGTGTAGAAGCATCTTAGCAATGATCAAGAAAAATGGGAGGCACCTGAGCTAAAGGGTCTAAATACTTATGCCAATATGATATTTCCGTTTTTTTTTCATTTTTAATAAATTAATAGACATTTCTAAAGTTCTGTTTTCACTTTGTCATTATGGGGTACTGAATGTAGATTAATGAGAAAAAAATGAATTTAGACAACTATAGTGCTTGTAAAGCCTAGACATTTACTACTGTTTTAGTACGTGTATCACCCCCCTTGTACTTACCTGAGCCCAATCCTGAACCATATTTTTGCTCACCTGCAGTGTCTCTCTCCTCTACTCCCTGCTCTTCCCCATTGACTCCTGCTACTGTCAGTCAAATTTAGTGACAAAGGACCAGGGGGGGGGGGGGGGGGGGTCCAAGCCTTACTGTCTGTGTCTGTAGACCAGGCAGTACAGCTTGGGATTGAGCACACAAGTGTGCCACAATAGGAAGCTACTCTTCCTATGGAAACAAACCAAGAAAGGGAGGAGCAAGGAGCACTAGCAGGGGACCCAAGAAGAACATTGTACAAAGCAGGTACTGTAAGTATAACATATTTGTTATTTTAAAAGAAAAAAAATAACTTTATAAACACTTTAAGGCTCCATGAACACTAGCTTAAAAAAAAGGCCAGTGCTCTTGACAGAAAAAAAAAAATTAATTCTGAGCATTTTTTTGTATGAGCAGCATTTAGGAGCGTTTAGCAGCATTTAGGACATTTTAGTGTTTTCTACCAGAAAAACACTCAAAAATGGAAAACAGATGGGTATGTTTTTTCTGCTGCTAAACTCTGAGCTTACAAAATGCCACTAGACTACCTAATGTTCATGGACACATAGGATAGCATTAGCTGCCTGCTAAACTCCTTTAGAAGCAGCATTTTTTAAGCCAGTGTGCATGGATCCTAAGGCTTTAAAAAGGCAGTGAGGAGGCACATAATGCCACCTCACCACCTATCAAATGCCTCTGAAAAATGATCTGCCGTGGATCTTCAGAGGGCTGCCGCTAGCTAGTGTAAACAAGTTCTTAATAGCAAGCCTTGAAAGCAAACCTTGCTTTCCTTCCGCATCCTCAAACTGTTGCAAAGTCTGAAAAACAGATCTAATCCATCTGTTTGTCTTCTAGTTGAAATAATGTGTATTTATGCATTGACACAAAGATAACACGCTGTTCCATGTTTGAATTTAGGTTTTTTTGTAGATTCTGAAGATTCAGCACAGTTGGCCATGTTTAACACAACATGGTAAAACCAAACAAATATCAAACTTATTTCATTCAGAATGGTCAGAACAGTGAAATCTGACAGCTGATTGAATTGCTGCATTTTTTGTATTGTTCGGTGAATTCTGAAATCAAATAATCTATGTACAGTAGATGTGAGGTATCACTGCTGGAAATGGGACAGTATAGCAATCAAAATGCAAAAAGATTTTCTCAGCAATCAACAGCATTTTCGCTGAGAGTCACACCTTATCACACAAGCAGGAACATTTATCACATTATGCTGATGCTCAGGCAAGTTTCCCAACACAGACATAACTGTATCTTGTTACTGTAATAAATCTCTTAAGTATCATATGATTAGCACTGAACTTTGATCCAATAGCCCAATCTATTTTTGCAATATCTGATAAGATTATCTAACTTCCAGTTTGATGTGTATATAAATGGGGTGTAACCTTCATCTCCATGAAATCATAAAAAAAAGACACCGGTCAAAGTCTGCAAACTCATACCAGACATCATTATCGATAAGTATGTATACATACAACTGTACAAAGTTATTGTTCTTCTAATGTCTAAAGTAGCAAGTATCAATCAAGATGTTCAATCATTATAATCATGCCGCCAATGAGCAGAAAGTAAGATAAGCTCTTCATCAATAACACCCCTTAGAGCCATCACTTAGTCACGAGCTTGCTCATTGTATGGGCACGGAAACAGGGAAGGGCATGTTTGTCTAGGTAACGTTTTCTATCTATTAACCAGTAACTAGAACTTTAGTAACCAGTGTGATGGCTGCCTGGAAAGTGGCTGTACAGAAAAGCATTTTAGGAATGGTTGACCAGAATCTGAAGCACTTGAACTTCAAGGGTGGCCGCATTCCCCACGTCCTGTCATTTTATCATCATTTTTTTTTTTTACATTCATTCCCCTAGGCTGTTTGCTTTTACAACAGTTCCTGTTTATTTTTCAACCTAGTGTTCGGGGTCTTGTAAAGGGTCTTCTGGCAGTGTGAGGAAAAGGTACATGCAGAAAGATGAAGCAAAAATCTCACAATGTATTAAGAATACATTGAATAACTCTTAGATTGTAAGCTCCAAGTAGCAGGGCCCTCCTAACCCTCTCGTATTGAACTGTATTGTTGCTGTATTGTCTCCCTTTATTTTGTAAAGAGCTGAGCAAACTCTTGGCGCTATATAAATCCTCTATTATAATAATAACTCTTTTATCTATAGAGAAGTAGTTCATTCAATCTACTTTTATTTTTCAGGATAAGCTCCTTAACTGCTTCCTGACCGCCCTATAGCAGAACTACTGCTACAGGGCTGTGCAAAATCACGTATATATACATGATTTTGTATTTCCAGGTAGGAGGCGGCTTCAGCTGTCGATCAGCTGGTCCCAGACTGTGATTCCTCTCTGGCAACCAGCGATCGTCGAGTATCACTGCCGGGGGGAAAGGTCTGTATGTAAATAATATAGATCTCTCCCCTTTCAGCTTCAGCACACTGCTTTGTATGGCTCTGCATACAGTAGTGGAGCCATACAAAGCAGTGTGCTTACGTGGTAAAGCACAGAACACAGCACGCAGTAAAACACACACAGTTAACCCTTTGATCGCCCCAGATGTTAACCCCTTCCTGTCCAGAGTCATTGGTACAGTGTCAGGCCTTCTTATTAGCACTGATCACTGTATTAATGTCACTGGGGATGTCAGTGGCATTAAGCCAGTTCCTCCCCAGTGTCAGAATGCCCGCCACAGTCCTGCTGTCCCACAATAAGTCACTGATCACCGGCATTACTAGTAAAAAAAAAAAATACAAATAAAAATTCCACTATATATACTAACATTTGTAGATACTATAACTTTCACGTAAACCAATTAATTTACACGTATTGGGATTTTTTTTAGCAAAGAATACATTTTGGCCTAAATTTATGAAGAAATTTTATTTTTTAAACTTTTTTACTGGATATGTTTTATAGCAAAAAGTAAAACAAATTGTGGGGTTTTTGTTTTTTTCAAAAATGTCGGGCTTTTTTTGTTTATAGTGCAAACATAAACCAAACACATAGGTGATCAAATAACACGGAAAGAAAGCTCTATTTTTTTTTTTTTCAAAATTGTCAGCCTTTTTTTTTTTATAGTGCAAAAATAAACCAAACGCATAGGTGATCAAATACCATGGAAAGAAAGCTCTATTTTTTTTTTTTTAAATTGTCAGTCTTTTTTTGTTTATAGTGCAAAAAAAAAAAAAAAAAACGCAAAGGTGATCAAATTCCACCAAAAGAAAGCTCTATTTGTGGGGAAAAAAAGGACATCATTTAATTTATGTACAATGTTGCATGACCGTGCAATTGTCAGTTGTAGTAGTGCAGAGTCGTATCACAAAAAATGGCCTGGAAGGCCCAGGAAGGGGGGGGGGGGGTAAATCCTCTGGAGGGCAACTGTAACTTTCTCCATCAACCAGAGGCGGACTGACAACTCATGGGGCCCCCGGGCAATAGGGGATCATGGGGCCCCTGTGTCCTTGCCCACACTCAAACCACACCCAAAAAAGCCTATGAAAGGTACCAGGGGCATCTCATGGGGCCCCCTTCTGACCCCGGGCCCTCGGGCAGTGCCAGAGTTCCCAAATGGTCAGTCCGCCCCTGCCATCAACTCATCCCCCACAGTTATTACCGTTTGTATCACTTCACCCTTTCTTTTTAGATTGTAAGCTCTAACGAGCAAGACCCTCTGATTCCCCTTGTATTGTAACTGTACTGTCTCCCTCCATTTGGTAAAGCACTGCACAAACTGTTGGCGCTATATAAATCTAGTATAATAGTAAAGATAATTAGGTTAACATAAATTTCCCGTACATCTGCCTGTACATCTAGGGTGAATACGGGAAAAACTAGTCCTCTGCTCCTACAATGCTGCTCATACAAATGTGGATGATTTCATTATAAACGGCCCTTGGATGTCTTGGCCAACAAATGACCAAAATATCAGTGTACCAGTACGTATTGTCTTAGAAACAGTCCTGGTGATGAGTGAGTCCCTCGCAGCTCTGTACAGTCATATTAATAGAGGATCGGTTTACATGCTCACACATTTTACCTCTGTACCACCCATCTTCACAATACATTGCCTAAACTCTGCCAGCAAAGTATAAAGTACATCATAAAACTGCCTTCCGGAAAGGATTTCAGCTTCTGTTGTAACCATTTCAAACAGCAGTGTGCTGTTACCGGAGGTGAAGAATATGATAAGGTTGCGTTGTGTGTATTCGCTTGTATCGGATAGGCTTAAACAATGCATCTAGTTTCCAGCTAAAGGAGCAGAAAGTATCCTGTTCCAAATGCAATAGGAAGTTATTAAAGTCTGTCCAGGAAACATGGAGCACGCCATTGTGTTCTTAGGCGATTGTTTGTTTAGACTACACTGCCCATCAGTTACTGAAGGGCCGACAATATTAAACTTCCTGTACTGCTGATGTGACATTCATTCTAAAGAAAGTAACCTCGATAAGAGTTGAATTAAATGTCACATTTTCACAGCAGTGCATTTCTAAATGGCACTTTTTGCCATTACACAAAATGTTTAATGAGGCACTCCATTCAAAAATAAGCTGCTTAAAGCACGTATAATAGCTGCTGCCTACCTTTTAAATATCCATCTTCTGTTCTTGCAATCATTAATTCTATTAGTACATTGCATGCAGGGATGGCTACTGTAATCCTAAAGCTGAACTCCAGGCAAACAGCTGAATACACACTTGAAATACATATATGTCAGCTGGTTTACCTGACAAAGGATTTGCATTTCCATGCAGTCCTGGGATTTAAGCCTGGTTCACACTAGTGTGATTTCAGAGTCGCAGAGAATCACATGACAATGGAAATGACATTTTTTCAATGGTGTTCATTTGCATGAAAGAAACTCTTAGATTGTAAGCTCCCAGGATCAGGCCCTCCTAACCCTCTTGTATTGAACTGTATTATTGCTGTATTGTCTCCCGTTATATTGTAAAGCGCTGAGCAAACTGTTGGCGCTATATAAATCCTGTATAATAATAATAATATAATAACTCAGCACGTTGCATTTTTTGAAAAGGGTCCTGTATCTTTTAGGTGCAATTCCAGCATGATTTTGGCCCCATAGACTTCAAATGAAATGCACCAAAAATGCATCTACATACGATTTGATGCATTTTTTATGCAATTTCAGTGTTTTTTTTTTATAATAATTGTTTATGAAGGATAATGCAAAAACTGTAACATATACAAGAATAACAGGATAGTGCAAATGACATGACAATACAATCGAAAGGAGATCATAAAAGAAACATAACGATAAGTATCATTCCCTCATAGGGCACCCTGATGCCATACATATAGTTCAGTATGATTAGGTTAATGGTCTAATTGTACTTCAATCTAAATAAGGAGCACACTGAGAAAACGGGGTCTCCAACAAGAGACCCATGTGGGGCAAGCACCGGAAACATATGATCCACCAAGGTATCAGTAGACCCTTCTGTTTTCTTTTGTAGAAGGTGTGTCGGAACTATGAAACAGTAGTGTGTCTGGACCGCTCCTCTAACAAAAAGCAATTTCAGTGTTTTATTCCCACCAGATATGTCATATGTCACACCAGATATGCTTATTATTGATCAAAAACAAAAATTAAGAGACATGAAAATCACATCAAAATGCATCAAAAACGCAAGTCACACTACATATTTGCTCTGAATATCTGATCAAATCGCTGCCATAGTAGTGTGAAGGTAGCCTTACACAGCTCTCCAGTGGCACATCCCTGTCTGGCAAGACAGGAGACACAATTTGTCTCTGTTGCAGTAGTGCAGGTGTCTCCAACATTGTGGCCAGTGGAAGTAGATCATGGCCAGTGGGATTAGATCATGGCCATTGGATTGTGGCCAGTGGGAGTAGAAAATTCCCCGGTGTCAATGGGAGTAGAAAATGTCTCAGGCTTGCTGGTCAGTGGTAGTAAAAAAAAATGACATAGTGCCTGTGGTCTGTAGGAGGAGGAATAGTGTCCCGTCATTGGTGTAGGTGGGAGGATTGGTGCCCCATTATTAGTGTCAGTGGGAGGAATAGTGCCCCATCATTGATGTCGGTGGGAGGAATGGTGCCCCATCATTGGTGTCAGTGGAAAGCAAAATGCCCCATCATTGGTTTCAGTGGGAGTAGAAGGCCCCATCGTTCGTGTCAGTGGGAGGAATGGTGCTCCATCATTAGTGTCAGTGGTAGGAATGGTGCCCCATCCTTGGTGTCAGTGGGAGAGCCCTATCGTTCATGTCAGTGAAAAGAAAAATGCCCCATCCTTGGTGTCAGGGGGAGGAATGGTAACTCATTGTTGGTGCAAGTGGGAGGAATAGTGCCTTGTATCAGTGGGAAGAACAGCACCCCAATAGCTGCATGCAAGGGCCTCATTTAGCTCATGGACCTCAGTTTGGAGACCACTGCAGTAAAGTAACATTTACAAATCTTATCTCTTCCCCAGCCTGTGAGGGAATGTGTTTTGACTATATAACACCACCCACTCTGCTCCATAACAAAGGGAGGTGTTTTGTAGTCCAGGAGATAGCAGGGACAAATATTAACTGATACTAGTCCAGGGGCAAAGGGCACAGGAAGTTATCTGTTCACAAGATTCCTGTCTGGATTAACAACAATTTTTTTGCACTTGTTATAAAATGCTTTCAATGGTATATTTAACTGATCAAAACGGAACGAATAAGAAGCATCTATTGTTAAAGTTTACATACACTTTACGCCGGAGGCAGCAGGACAACTAGCATTTCAGGAGATCAACAATGGCATCCTATATGAATCTGTCAGTACAGGTTAACCCTCAGTAGATCATGCTCACACCCTGCATTACATCATGTTGGCTGAAAGCATAGTTCATGCTGCAACAAAGCAAAAGCAGAAGTAAAAATTACAGTTTGAGTTTTTCCAGTGCATGTCTCAGACCTTCTCATCTATGGTATGTTGAAGAGCAATACACACATATGTTGAAGAGCAATACACACCTGTTACCTTTTATAACCACTTCAGCCCTGGAAGGTTATATACCCTCTTCATGACTAGACCATTTTTTGCTATACCGCACTGCGCTATTGTTAACCAGTAATTGCATGGTCATCCAACGCTGTATCCAAAGAAATTTATAAAAAAAATTTTCACACAAATAGAGCTTTCTTATGGTGGTATTTGATCACCACTGGGTTTTTACATTTTTCAATATAAATTAACAAAAGACCAAAAATCTTGAAAAAAATTACAATTTTTTTTACTTTTTGCTATAAAACATATACAATAAATTTTTTTTAAAAAAAATCTAATTTCTTCATAAATTTTGACCAAAATGTATTCTATTACGTCTTTGATAAAAAAAAAATCAACAAAATCTCAGTAAGTGTATATTGATTGGTTTGCGTGAAAGTTATAGCGCCTAAAAACTATGGTATATATACTGGAATTTTTCCTTTTTTATTTTTTTACTACTAACGGCTGTGACCAGCGACTTATAATGGGACTGAGGGAGTGCGGCAGGCAATCTGACACCAACTGATTAACTGCCACTGACATCACTAGTGACATTATTACAGTGATCAGTGATAATACTATACACTGTCACTGTACTAATGACAGGGAAGAGGTTACCATCTAGGGCGATCAAGAGGTTAAATGTCTGCCTACCTATATGTAATGTGTGTAATGTGTGCTGCTTTTACTAAACGATCTCTAAATCTCTCATCCCTTCTTTGCAAAGATGAGAAACTTACAGATTGCTCCCTCGGTACAGAGGTCTGTGCTGTTTACCAACACAGTGCACTGGGCTGTGATCGTACACAGCCGGTCAGCAGGACACAGCCGTGATTCATTGGCTGGGACTTAACAGGCTCCTGCTGTGTACAATGACAGTGGGTGCGGTGGGTGGGGACTTGCCCAAAACCCAGAAGTAGGCAGTGTCGTACCCATACATTGCTTTGTTTACAGTCAGGGGCGGACTGACCATTCGAGCACTCGGGCACTGCCCAAGGGCCCGGGGTCAGTAGGGGGCCCCATGAAATGCCCCTGTTACCATTTTTATAGGCTTTTTTGGGTGTGCTTTGAGTGTGGGCAAGGACACAGGGGCCCCATGATCCCCTATTGCCTGGGGGCCCCATGAGTTGTCAGTCCGCCCCTGCTTACAGTACATTGCGGGAGGGTGGGAGCAAAGTGGATAAACATTTTTTTGTTGTTGTTTTAAAAAGGGGAGGTAGATTTTGTAAAAAGTCATATTGAACTTATATTTTCGCCAAGCATGACTCTCATATGCTAGCTGGAGACACAGGAAAGTAAAATACGGCATGATAAATTAGTGTTGTTAGCAGAACTTGCAGGAAATTTCCAGAGCAATAAATTTAAGTCCTCCCCCTTTAAATCACAGTGGTTGCTTTATGTAAAGCATATTTATGCTGTTGCTTAACTGATCTTCTGCTGAGACATTCTATATGCCTGTTTAATATGTAGCCAGAGACATATACAATCCCATGGGCAGCGTTCAATAAGAGTTTAAGAATTGCAAATGAAAAAAGAGTCATGGCATGGAATGAAAGAAAGATTGTAATATTGCCAGAAATGCAGACAGTGTTTAACGTATTAA